CATGTATAAACCATTATTGGAGGAAACATATATGTTAAACATATTAAAAAATATTTGATTTTTTGATATCGACCAAATGCTTCTATATTTTTATAGAAATCATCGAATTGCATTGTTTAAGATTGTTACTGGAATACAATTATAATTTTAACGATGATTGAGTGTACCTCTAAAACATAGAGTCAAGAAAATCTTGTCTTTCATTAGTTTAAATAGTTCGTTTTTTTTCTTCTACCTTTTTCTTTTTCTTCTTCGTTCTTTACCAGATGTTTTTTTGAATATATGTTAATAATGATCACAATTATATCATCGGACTATGTAGGTTAAAATTATAAAAGTTTGTTTCGTATAACATCTTTTGTACTCAGTGCTTTACAACAGATGAAGGCTGAAAGAACGAAATGGGGACCGCGTGGGACTGCTTTCTTCCAGAAATCGATTGTGTACTTCGTACTTAATGATTATTGTGACACATAGAATCGCATTGATTAAATGGAAAGAAAAAAAGGAAAACAAAATTTCGAAGGCATATTTGTCAAGCTTAAAAACCAAAATCTTCACACGTTATCAAAAACGAAAAACAATATTAATTTTCCATTCCTTTCTCTTGTTTAGTGATCCTCTTTTGTTAAGGCGTTCGTTTTCTCAAATAGATTATTCTGTGAATCACTAAAACCAACGAAAACATGCAAGATAGAAAAAATAAAGAATGTAAGTATTTTGTGGTGTTTTTTTTAATCTGACACATTTTGTTTTTTTTTCTCTCAAGATATTCAGATGGACTAGCTCTCACACGTTAACCTTTCCATTTTCTTCGATCTCCTGCGTCATTGATCTTGACAAAAGATTAAAAAAAGCTGTTCCAATCATAACATATTTTGTCTATCGATTGAGTTTATTAATTGTTTTTATCGATATATTTTTCTTTTGATTAAATCAATCTTTATCATTACATAATGTGTGTTTTTCTTCTTTGCTGACAATTACTATTTATTGTCGAAGATTTTTAAAATATATCTTCAGAAAAGAAAACTTAAAAAAATAAATTATATTCTTCAATTAAGAAAACAAGTACATACAAGAAAAGAAAACAGAAAATCATATCTAAATTAAAATCCTTTGGTACAGTAATAAGTTGTTTTCACATTTTGTAAATGGTACGAGGATAATTCGCCGCAGATGTCTGTATATGGATTTGTCCATTTATCTCAAAATCTAAGTTAAAAGTAAAATATCCGGCTCTGCTAAGTTGTGAAGCGCAATTTTCTCTTCAATTTAAAACCTTTTAAACTTTCCTAGCATGTGAAATGGATGAGAAATGTAGTACGTACAAGTAGAACAAGAGCAAAAAACCTCGTTTTGAAAAAAAATGTCAAACAAAGTTTATATTTGAAAACTGATGTTCCTGTTTAGAAAAGCGGTCGAGGAAACACATCGATCGTAGTCTACCATTCATTATCAATTATAGCAGATCAAACGAAGACTTGTGTGGGTAACTGTATAGTGTCTAAAAATCTGAATCTAGGATAGAAAAAAATATATAAATTGTGAAGATATATGAGTATGGTTATTTATGTCACCTATTCACATCCATACCGACAATACCAGCTGCTCAAATAGACAAATGATGAGTAAAAGGAAGAAATGATTATTAACGTAAAATAATGAAACCGAATACTGAGAGAGAACGCATATGTATGTCAGAAGTCGTCTCATTTTACATAATACTGTCACAATAATTACACAGTGAAATGAAAGCTAGTAGAAAAAGAAATACAGGGTACGACTCCAATTGTTCGAAGGCTTATAGCATTTCCGAATTATTTCACATATTTTTTCAAGATTTTGCACTATGAGAAATCTTAGAAAAAGTTCAAAAGGCAACAATAACTCACATTTTTATTAAAAATAAAATCATTTTTTCTTATTTCAGCATTATCAGTAATTTCTGTTTAAAACCGTGAGAAAGCATCAGAATTTCGATAAGTCGTACTTTTTTTTCGAAAGTAGACAACGAGCGTTATTCAACTACATAGAAATCTCATAATCGGTTTTTTAGTCGATCTGTTAGATTTTCAAGATGTTTCGATTGATAATCCATCTTTTTCTTAAAAAAAACATGAAATTATTACTTATAACCTACTATAATCTGATGAATTAAAAGTCCGAGTAAAATTTTGACTTTTTTTTTAATATTCATTTTCATTCCATGATAATCCTTTTGTTGCTTTTCATGTACTTTAGACTGATATGGATCGGTCATATATCTACCATTCTAATCCTCTACTAGTCCTCTATCTATAGTGTATATCTTAGATTTTTATCTCTTTTTATTTGTACATATTCCCTAAATAATTTCATGTATATCGATCTTTCATGTGTTATTACAAGTTTGATTTTTATTTGTACACTAGACCTTGTATAACAAATTTCATATATGATACAAGACTATATACTGACATATTCCGGGATAACTTTTTATATTATACTTCCTTTCTTGAATTAGGACAATCAAAATGAAGACACCATACAATATAGGGTTTTCAGGATGATGACGATAAACATATTGGTACTACACCAGACTTCACTTTGAAGGTTATTGAACATGTGCATGGTATTATTAACAGATATATTAAAGAAGACATTCAGCTCGATGGTACAATAGATGAATTAATAGTCAAATCTTCTACTGTAGTAACAGATAATCCTGATATTAAGGATGATCAGGTGAATGAACAGGATGTTTTTATAGGTGAAATGAAGGATGAATATGAAAAACAAGAGAAACTGGAAGATGAGCGTGGATCGTAACACAACAAGTTCTACTCTACTCTATTATAGACACAATCAACTTTCATCAATTACATTTATGTGTATTGTAGTATCTGTTTTATGTATCATGAATTCCACTCTGGTGGTACCTATGCTACCTTTCTTTTTTCTGCTTAGTTCTTTAAATGAGTTTGTTCTATATTGAATGGGTGCATGTTATTAGATACTCTAATTCATGTTTTGCGCTTCTCTATAATAACACATTATAATTCCTTCTCATAGTATTAGAATAAAACTTGATATGAACATACCCTCAACTTAAACTTTTGATTCATTGGACTATAGTAATATTTTTGTTATTCTTTTTGGTTTCGTTCTAATGACCAAGTTAATTTGAATCATGAACAAGGACATAACAATGTTGTTATGAATAAAGGCTCTAGTATAAATAAATATTAAAAATCATTTTTTTATGTATGTCACTCATAGAGATAGTGAAAACTGGTAATCATTTGTGTTATGTAGTAAAATAGTAATGAATCATAATAGAATACAAAACACAAAGAGAACGAAGAGAGCAATTCTTTATTCCACACACACACACACACACATATATATACTTATCATTCATCAATAAGACTAGTTGTTATTTTTTTTTGCGTAAAGAATTCTTTACCATATCGATAGTTTTGACAAAAAAAAAGTAGTGTCGAAGTAGGCATTACTGACTGTACTCCTTTATTAATGAAATAATAATTTAGAAAATAAATGAATATAATATTGTAAACAAAAAGAAAAGAGTCTATTAAATTATATAGGTTTGATAAGATTTGAGTATTGTTTTTTTATTTTGATATAAACTCGATGGACGTTTTATAGGTTGTTGATGTTGTTTTTTCATTCTTTCATATGCATCTTTATAAACTTCTTTTGAATAACGTTTCCATAGTTCATTGTTATGATATGATTTATAAAAATGTGAATCCGATGGAAATGGAATTTCAGTTCGACGAATATTTTGTTTATATTGATCGGTTGCAATACGTACAAATGATGATTTAAGTAAAAGTAGACATTCACATTTATTACTAACTAATGTTAAAGCTGATTGATTTGGAAAAAGCATATCATTTAAACCCTAAAGATCAAAAAAATAAAATTCGAAAAAAATAAAAATTTACTTGAAACTTACGAAATGTTGACCTTCATTTAATGTTTTAATATGTATATGAGTTGTTTTATTAGGAAATATTAATTTTGATTGTGTACTTATCTGAATCAATTAAATATTTATTTATATCAACAAGATTCTTCTTTTTCTTTTTCTTTTTTTTTTTTTTGTTAATTTTTACCGTTAGTCGGCTAGGTTTCAGTGTGTCATCTGTTAATGGTAAAATCGGTTCATTATTAATTTGATTCATTAATAATTGATCATAATCAATTAATGGTAATCTCTCTCGTTTATCAGAAATTCCAGGAAATTTCTTTTTTGATAAAAAATAACAAACAAATATAACTTTATGACAAAACAAAAAAAAAAAAAACAAATACTTTTATTACTTTTTCAAAATTAAAAATACTATCTGAGTTTCTTCGTAAACCTGATGATATTTTTCCATCAATAGCTTTTGAACGACGTAAACGACTTAAACGAGAATCTGTATCAAGAGTTGTTCCACTTGATTCATCAATACCACCACTAAGTTGAATCTCCGAAAATAATGCATTATCATCTGATGTTGCTTCATGACTATCATCATCATTATCATCAACCACTAAATCAACAAACAAAAAATTTCGTTTTTCTTTTCTTCAATACAAAAATCACTAAACTTTTTTCATTTTTTATTTGATCTAAATCTTGTTTGCTTAATTTTGGAATATAACCATCAGGATCAAGACGTTTCCATACGTGAAGTGAACCATTTTTAACAATAAATATATGTCTCATAAGACGGCTATCATGAGCAATTACTTCTGATTGTCTAAAATGAATAATTAATGAAAACACAGAAAAAAATAAAATCTTCAAATATAAAATTAATTATACCCATAATTACAATGTTGTATTGCATGTGGAAATTCATTTAATTGATCAATTGGAAAGCCA